GGGGTTATTCCAGTCATCATTGACCTTATCCTTGACTAGTATTAATTTAATTTCACTTCATCTCTGCATATCATAAAAACATACAGCATAGAGATGTGATAATGATATTTAGGTTTAAATCACAATTTGCCTTCTGCAGTTCACTGATCCTCTCTTGGTTTCCAAGAATTACATGCAATCTTTTTGCCTTTTGTCTATATTAAGAGGTCTTATGTGTTGAAACCATAGGAGGTTTGATTTCTTAGCATTTTAAGAGAATTAGGTACTCGTGAACCCAGTGAGAAGGGGATGTTATTTAATTTATTCTTGTCTAGTGATCTGCATTGCCTCTGATTTTTGGATTTGTTACCCAGGAAGGGTGGTGCGATGGTGTTGGATCTGTTGAAGAAATTCAAGCCAAGTTGTTTAAGAGGCAGGAGGCAGCCGCTAAGCGTGAAAGAGCAATGGCATATGCTATGACTCACCAGGTAAATATTCTTTTGTCCTCTAGTAAATGCAATTTTACTGTTCTGTGAATTCCTCGAAATTATGCAAGGACTACATGGAAATATTAATCAGAAAACTGTTTAATGAGGAAATTGCTACTAATGTTATTACATCTTTGAACTTTGTTTCTTAATTTTTTTATGCCTACGTCCTATCTCTCCTATACTAAACTAAAGGGGAATAAACCATCAATAATTGTTATGCATATGCATTTGATGGTTTGACTAGAATTTAGGATGTTATCACTGTACCCAATGTGGCAGGCTGCCTGCCAAATGATATCTTCGGAATTGATAATGGGTGATTCGTAGTTGGCATGTAAATTGTATATTTTAGGGTTCAAAAGATATTCTAGGAAATTGTAGATTGACCTTGACGCCAATTAAATTGACATCAGGAAAAAGAAATCTGATAAGATCCTCAATTGTGATGCTGAAAATAGAATGTAAATTGTATTGCTGAACGAAAATTGAATGACTGAGTGTTGTCGAACATTCTAGAGGCTCAACTCTCTCCCCAACCATTCCCTAATTCTGCCTGAATGAAAATGAAACCACCCTGCCCATTCTTTATAGTTAGAAGTCTATACAATTGATTCTATTAAATACCCATCATGCCCTTTCCCTGAACTAACTTTCGTGTGCCTTGGGGCCTATCAAAATCTTTCTTGTCACTTCAACGGTGTAGTATAGAAGTTAAAGCTTTTAACATGGAACAAACCTCTTGGGAAAAATAAAAATATAAACTCGAAAGTCTTTTAAGATTGAACTATTCACTATGCCCCTAAATTTCCTACATTTCAGTGGCAGGCAGGTTCAAGACAGCAAGCAACTCCTGGTTTTGAACCCGATAAAAGCAGCTGGGGATGGAATTGGTTGGAGAGATGGATGGCTGTTCGTCCATGGGAAAACCGCTTTTTAGACATTAATTTAAAGGATGGAGTGACGACTCCTGAAAATGGATTGTCTAACACAAAGAACGGAACCCAAACTCAGTTAAAATCTGCCGAGAAGAAACTGTTGTCAAATCTTGCAAATGAGAAAATTGGTCCCTCTCATTCAAGCATTAACTCAAATATCTCCAATGAAAAAAGGCCTCTATCTCATTCTGATGGTTTTAGTTCTTCACCAAACATGACTGCAAACATGCAAGAAACACCAGTTGCACTAAGGTCTAAACCAATTCTTGAAGACTTGGCCGAGGAAGCTACCTCAAGGCCGAATGTTGATTCAAGATCACGTAGCAATCCTAAAGAGAGATCCAATTCTTCAGATAAACCAGGAAAGAAGCGGTTGTCTCTGCCTAGCAGCGGTTAGTCCCTCTCTTTCAACTGATGGAACTACATTATTTCAAGTGTCCATGATTATTAGTAAATCTAATAAATGCCGAGATCTGTTTATGATTCAACGCCTTTCTAACTAGCACTCCGTGCACATTTTCTTTCCTGCAATCTTGTTTGATCAGGTCTAGGTAGCGGGGTTCAATCAACCAAGCAACAAAGTAGAACTGCCGTCAAAAGGTCGCCTTCTTCCCATAAGCCTGTCATGGGTAAATCCAAATCAAATGAAAATGGTGTAAAGCCTTCAAAATCCAGTCCACAGATTTGATACTTAGCTTTTAGATAATCACATAAGATCGTATCATCATCTTCTGCAACGGCCCTTTTTGCTTGTACATACCGTGAAGAGATGCTATGTCGTTGTGTGAGTTCGTGATATCTCTTGCACCATTACTGAATTTAAGAGATGGGTTTGTTCTCGAAGAAATAATTGTATTATCGTATTTATTGGTTCATTCCAGTGCATGTTGAGAAAGTTTCCTCGTAGTTTGAATGCAGCGGTCGTTCCTCTGTTCCATCATCATAAGTCGAAAGTGGAGAACCCGCAAGTTAAAAAGTGACTGTTGTAAGGTTAAATAGGGAGTATTAGTTTGGGAAAAAATGCGTTCTGATAGTTCTCGTTTCATGGTTTGTATTGTATTGTTGTATGAGTTTCTGCCATTTAGGGAGGTGTGATGATGTTGTATTGGAGGTTATGCTCTTTTGTTCATTTATTTTTTTGGGAAATGATTAAATCGCTCCAAAACTCGAACCTGATCGTACGGTCACTATGATGATTTTTATTTTTATTTTTTCTAATTAGAAAAAAGAAAAAGAAAAAAAAGAGACTAGACAGATTTACGCCGTTAAAGTGAAAGAGAGATTAAATTAACGCTGTTTATCATCTCTTTCAATTATATCTTAATCTAATATCCTGTTTGATGATCATTATTCGGAAAAAATACAATGTTTTGAATTGTGATTTTTAGAAAAACACGTTGTAAGAAGTAAGGAAAATTTTTAAGTTTATGTACATAATATTTTATTATAGGAATACGTGGTTAAAAATAAGTATATAAAAAAAATTCAAATAAGGTTTGTCAAATAGGAATTAAGTACAACTCACTCCAACATAATGGTAGTAAAATATGATTGTGTCAGAATTTTTTCAACCAACTATTAAAAAAAAAAAATTCCTTTCCCACTAACTTTTTGAGACATCATCGGTAAGTAAATTATTATGTAATTTTATTATGTACAAGTATCATTATTTATAAATTATTATGAAACTTAATTATGTGCAAGTACCATTATTTTTCGGACCAACTTGTAGCATTATTCATTAGGGAAAATTTCATAAGTAAGAGGTTAAGTATCACTCATTTCAAAATTATGATCAAAGGTTTCAAATATCAAATATCAGATATTTATTAAAATTTGTTTATGATTTAATTAATTAATTATATATTTAATTATTAAATATATTAAGATTACAATTTTATGCAATTTTGTCACAAATTAACGATTTAATTAGTCACATATTATTTTTCGGTCACAAATCAAAATTTCTATACGTCAAAATTAGTTCACGATCACAAATCAAAAATTTATAAGTCACAACTTATTATACAATCACAAATTATCTAACTATGTTCACAAATTAACAATTTTTAGATCACAATTTATCTTTTTCATTGTGACATATTATTTATTGATCACAAATTAATCAATTTAATCATCACAGTGAATCAAATGATTTGTGACCACTTCTAACACTTGTAACCATCATCTCATCACCCCACCCACTACCACAACCACAATCATTGCTATACCACCACCATCATTGCCACAACCACCACCAGTGCCAGATGTGTAACACCTCGAATTTTAATCATATTTTCATATGAGCTAAATTTAAAAATTGTTATCTAGCAAATGAAATAATTCATATCTAGTTTTGTCGTCACACTAAATTTCAAAAGTTGAAGTGATAAACTCTACTAACTTATTTGTATAAATGTTATATTTGCTTACGTACACTTTTAAAAATTTATTGTAAGTTATTTGGATCGAATATTTAAGTATTTTAGAAGTTGATAAAAATATACCTATATTGTACTCATTTTGTTGCTCGTAGTAAATAGCATATATCGGGCTTAAGAATAAATATTTTTAGACTAATTATACACGAGTTAATTTGGTAAAAAAAAAAAATATTCTAGATTTTGTATCTTATTAATAAGCAAAATGTAAATAATAATAAAATAAAAGAAATTGCAGTACGGAATTAGAAAAGAATATTATAACTTAAACATAATTAAATAGTAATTGATATAATTAACTCATAAACTCTTCAAAAATACTTTGAGAATTAAATAATGAAATCTAAAAGTCATTTGATTGAAATTTTAATGAAAAAAAAATTGAAATCGAAAGTGGTCATTTGGAGTTACGTTTTTTGTGTGAATTATATATATGTATATAGTTAAGTTTGATTTTTCTTTTAGAACATAAACTTCATTTCTACGTTGATATACACAAACATTATTGGAAATAATTCTCACCACTATTATTCTAAGAGCATATGTTTCAGATTTATTTGGTATCAAATCAAAGTAAGAATACTTTATGCAAGCGGTAAATTATTATTTTCTTGATATTTTTATAGACTTTGGCATGAAATACTCTAAGACATTCGGGTCGATTTTTATGTTAAATCCTACGGGATGGACCGTTTGGTCAAATATGTAAATTCTATGGGGTATAGGAATTCTTATGAAATTCCTTGAGCTATTGGATGTCACAAGCAGTGATAAGACATGAAATGTCATGAATTACATTCATTAATTCTTGTATTTTTATGATTAATTAACACCTAAATATGCTAAGTACCATTATATTGTAATTTAAGCTACATTTGGATGATCATGACATAAAATAGAATGAAAGAGTGGAAAAGGACCTAAATGAAAGAAATCAAAAGTTCAAGGACTAAAATACAAATATTTAAAAGTTGAACCGAAAGGCCAAACGAAGGAGTGAAAGATTTGAAGGTCAACTAATGGAAGATTTAAAGTGTTGGAAGAAGGAAAACAAGAAAAAAATGCCAAGAAAAGAAAAGATGAAAGCTCAGGGACCAAGTTGCAAATAATCCCTATATGAGACGAGTAATGGAATGAAGATTCAAGAGTGTTAGATGTCAAGTGGATGAGGAAAGAAGTCAAAGGGATGAAATACAATCATAGTATAATTACACATCAATTTCCAATCGAAAATGTTATACACCGATTTTCAGCATCATATTGGAACCCCTTTTTGACATGGTAAACAATCAAATTGGAAGATGACATCTGAAGAAAACTTGTATCCGTTTGAGTTAGCTTCCCATCGCAATTTGAATCACCTCAATCGGACATCAGAAAAGAAAGTGACGATCAAAATAATGAAAGTTGTCTGACAGGAAAACGTTTATTCTATGCGTCGCATAATTCAAAACCAATATGGTCACATAGTTCATTTCCAACATGCGATTTTTAGTTTCCTAATTTGAATCAAATACTTATGAAACAAATCTTGTACACCAGATATATGCCCCAAATCTCGTTCAAAACAGAGAAAACACCCTCAACCCTTGGTCCACCAGAAGCTCATAGCACGCCCTCCCTCTGGCTCCAGTGGCGACTAGATCAACGCGTTATTGCTTCAAGAGAAAGTCCCATCAAAGTTGCAGCAAATCCTTATCAGAAAATAGACTTTTTGCTATTCAATGTCTTTCTTATGTAATAGTTGGCTTGGCTCGATTTCTGATTGTTGAGCTCTAGAGTAGTCCCAATTAAAGACAAGATAACGAGTTTCAAATGCTTCATTCTCTCTTTGTGCTAAAGATCTATGATATGCAACTAATTTCTTTTGCTTGATCGAAGGAGACGAAAGTCTTAGATCAATTATAACTGTGAAATCCATCTGATTTTTATTGATTAATTCATATGCACAGTATTAAATTTTCATCTAAAATTATTTTTATGATTGTTGTGTTTGATTTCTTAAGTGCATGCTAGGTTATTAATCTCAATAATCCATAGATAAGTTGAATTTTAAAACTGTAATTATTGATTGGTTTAACTTATGAAGCAACTAAGATTGATAATTTACTGCTTGAAAATTATTAAATTTTAGGGAGAAGATTTATCTAGGTTAAATACAAACGCTTGACTTGTGTTATCTAGTTCATTGATTTCTCTAATTCGCAAAGTCATTAGTAAAATTAATTCTTGCACTTGTCTAGGATTGTTACATAATGATGATTAATTAGATCACTTGTTTCTAATTAATTAAAACTAAGGAGAACTAGGAAAATTGTTTCGAATGGGAAATTTAATTTTTCACAATGAAGCTATGATTATGAATTGATAATTATTTGTAGATCAATGATCGGTTATTAATTTCTAACGGTGGATGTTGACTTAGATCAAGGTTTGTTTTATTGCTTATATTTAATTCGATGAGTTGTGTTATTTCAGGAATTCAAAAACCCTCCATTTTAGTTAATTTAGTATAAAATGTAAATTAATCACTCTTCGTGGGATCAACCCTTACTTCCACTACTACATTAATTTTAAGAAATATAGGTTTTAATTTAGAGTGTCTACGACAGCACGCACCAATCAGCTTGCTCTAAATCTAAAAAATATCGATATGTCATGTCATTTTATATTTATATCATGTTAATAATGATATTCGTGTATTTGTTACTGAGCGTTTTAAAAATACTTAATCTTATAATAACATTTCAAAATAGAACGAGTGCGTGGACGTGTGATAGACTGACCGATTAATATTTATGGGGTCATCAAGTAAAATTTCTAAAGACGATAATTTGCAAATTTCCTTCGTCTTGTTGAAGAACATCTTTATGTTAAATTTTGTGCACAATATTTAGTATTTTTTTGTGTGTTTGAACATTGACATTTTATGTTAAATTCGAATTGATGGGTTGAAATCGTAGTACTTTAAAACTTTATTTGATGTGAAAATTTTCACTTGAATTGTTAGTTTATCGTTATCGAATTACCGATAAAAAAATGAATTTTCGTTAAATTAGATAAAGAAATTGATTTTGGAAACACCTTAATTCTATTTTTATAAAATAAAAATGAAATAAATTTTGGAACATTTTAAGATGCACAGTCATTGTCACCGCCAAATCCATCCCCACCAACTCTAGATCCACCATCAACAGCGCCTGATCCACCACCGTTGCTGCCAATAAAACCACCCCAACATCACCAAGGAAACCACCACCAACAACAAAAACCACCTCAAAAACTCCATTCATGCTGTACATCGGATTGCAAGTTTCCCCAGATTTGACACTAGATCGCTACCTAAAACTCTAACCCAATCTTCCTCATATTCGGCACCAGATCGTGATCCAAAACTTCGCTCATGCTGGGCAGGGGCGTGGCAACCATGGATGCACTTGCAACCATGGCTCTGGGCTCAAATTTGATGGTGAGGGAAGAAGATAAAGAGATGGTAAGAGAAGAGAGAAGAAAAAGGCACGAGGTTTTAGAGAGATGAATAATGGAGAAATATAGCCTTTGTTTGAGCCTCATTCTTTTGATAAGAATGAATTTTTGAATAGTGTATTAATGGAAAATGAGTGGTTAAAAAATAAGATTTTTTTTTTAAATTTGTTTGTAATATTATTTTATTGAATAATGTGTGATTAAAATGATGTCAAAACATTGTTTAAGAATGTATTTTTTTTTCAAAGAATGAGAATCAAACAGGAGAATAATTAGGATTTGTGGTTGAAATTGTGTGGTAGATGAATTAGCTTTTGAATTGTTATATTTATAACCTGTTTGGCCCTCATTAAATTAAATTTAATTTTCCTCTCCTATTTTTAATCACACAATCTTCCATAAAATAATATTACACGTAAATGAATATATAGAAAAAAAGAGTTTTTAAGTAATGTTTGACAAACAGGAACTAAGTACAACTCATAATTCAACATGATGGTGGTGAGTCTGATTGAGTCAGAATTTTTTTAATAAATTAAATTAAAAAAATTCACTCTCTCTACAAATAGTATTAATTATAGTGAAGTGTTATATGTACATAATTGTCTACATAGTAATATTCGTAATTACATATGATATTGAATCCAACTTTTAATTCAAATTTCACACTTTTAAATCAACAATTGAATGATTGTCACGTCAAATTATGAGTAACATTATGTGCAATAATTATGTACATATAAATTTTCCCTTATTTATAAATTATTATGTAATATCATTATGTACAAATAGCGTAATTATTCATTTCCAATTGATCTACTCTCCCGTCTTCATCCCTACCCACTCCCTATACTACCCGGGGCCCCGTACCACCGACTTTGCCTTCTCTTCACTGCCATTGCAACAATCCCAAAGCACACAATACACCAATCACTGAACCCTACTCAACTCCTCCTCCCTCCACCACCACCACTGACGCTGCCGCCAGATATGAAAGCGGAGTTCTGTTTCCCCTTTTATGAAACCCTGCACTCCAAGAATCTTGTTTCAGTCATGGTCTGATGTTCTAAAGTTTCAATTTTGAACAAAAAGAGAACAATAAATTCATAGCCATGGCTTGTTCAACATCTTCCCCACTAATCCCAACCCTAATCCTCCTTCTATCGTTGCCGATTTTGTTCTTCTTCTTCGCCCCAAAAATCCTTCCGCCGCGGCAAATCTCGATTTCTGTACCCGATGAACTCGATGACCTTTCACTTTTCCAAAAGGCCATAGCCATGGATTCAGCCGATTTGTCACGTAAACACCATAATAGACTCCCGTCTACCAGATCCCGCCTCGGCTCCACCTTCCACCGACCCAAAATCGCCTTTCTTTTCCTTACGAATTCTGACCTCCACTTTGCGCCGCTGTGGGAACGCTTTTTTGCGAATGTAAGTGTTAATAATAACTCACACGAGCATCTTTATAACATATACATCCACGCCGATCCTTCAGTGAAAATTACCCTCCCAGATGGGGTGTTTAAGGATAAGATTATACCATCTAAGAGGACTCAGAGATCTTCGCCCACTTTGATTTCGGCTGCGCGAAGGCTCCTCGCCACTGCAATGCTTGATGACCCTGGTAACGCGTACTTTGCGTTGATATCACAGCACTGTATTCCGCTTCATTCGTTTAGCTATTTCTATAATTTTCTGTTTGATCTGAGAAAATTATCGGGTAACTTGGAGTTTCCTAGTTACATTGAGATCCTGTCGGATGAGCCGACTCTGTGGGATAGGTATAATGCCAGAGGAAAGAATGTAATGCTCCCAGAAGTGGATTTTGATCAATTCCGAGTTGGTTCTCAGTTTTTTACATTAACGCGAAAGCACGCATTGATGGTGATCAAAGATAGGAGACTATGGAGAAAATTCAAGCTGCCTTGTCTAAATGTTGAGTCTTGTTATCCGGAGGAGCATTATTTTCCTACACTTATGTCAATGCAGGATCCAAAGGGATGCACACATTACTCATTGACAAGGGTGAATTGGACCGACAGTGTGAATGGGCATCCACGCACTTATCACCCTTCTGAATTGTCCCCTGAGCTGATATACAGGCTCAGGGAATCCAATTCGAGTTATTCCCACATGTTTGCTCGAAAATTTTCACCAGATTGCTTGGTGCCATTGATGGATATTGCTGATTCAGTTATTTTCAAGGACTGATTTTTTACTCTGGTAATTAGGTATGCAATATACTTTCTTCTTATCAGTAGTTGTGTTAAGTTTAGTTGATTTCAGTTTTCTTGATTTGGTTGAATTGGTTGTACTGTGACTGAGCTATTGATAATTGGTGGTGTGATGCTTTGTGTCTGGTCTAATATTTTTCTCTTTTGAGGTGTTCTAAGATAGTTGATCTAAGTTTCCATACTATGATTCGGAAATCCGTAGTAGTGAAAAGTCATTAATCTTTTGAACTTCTTGGTGTATTATTTTGTTAAGGGTGTTGAAAATCTGGTGTTGAGATATTTGCTGCTGAAATTTGCTAGAAGAAATAATGCCCCTTTGTTCACGTGAGCCATGGGATGTAACATGTATTCACTTGGTGCCTCTTTGGTCACATGAATCCATGAACTTCATTAAATAAATTACCCACTTTACTTTTTTTTCTCTCCTTTTGTTCTTTAAACCAATGTTCTTATTCATAAGATATGCATGAACGGGGTAATTTTTGGGCACTTCGACAATGAAAAACATAATGTGGTTTGGCTAGAGATTTGATGCACTTAGCACAACATTTGGCGTGATTTATTGAAACTTCCTTTCATACTAATTGTGTGTATGATACTTGGAATGAGGGTTATGATGTTGGTTAGAGTTAGAAGTTCAATTCATGAACTCAAGGTCCAAAACAGTTTGCCTGGAAATGATTTAACTAGCGGTTTCCCCATGTTATTGAGGTACAATGCGAATTCATTTTAAAATAACATATATTTGGATACTAAACTAATTATTTTTTTATCATTTTAGATACTTATTTGGAGTTGGTTACATAAATTGAAGTTCCATCTGACCTAATGACTGCCATTGTTTATGCAGAAGAAGAAAATGTCAGGGCAAAAATTGAGCCTTTACAATGGAAGAATGTTGGAGTACCACGCGGAATTAGGGTTTTTGAGAGGCTGTTAAAATAAATCCTCTCATCCTAAGTAACCCAAAGGAGTCCAACTCAAGCAATGGAAAAGCTATCAAAATCAAGTAGTCAATAGTAAGTTGAGGTGTAATTTGGTAGTGTAAATTTTCTAATGATGGTCCGAATTGGGGTTCCACCATAGGAGGAAAAAAGACCGGTGTTTCTTTAAATTGGGACTGGGACATCGTCTCTTTCCGTCGTGTAGATTGGATGGATGTTCATGTAATATGAGTGAA